GGGCGGGGCGGTCGCTGCGAGCGACCAGCCGCCCGGCGTACACTGCCGCGGCCAGCGCGACAGGCGCCTGCAAGGCTGCGAGGCAGGCGATGTGCTCCTGCCTCGCGCCGGGCAGCCGCATGTACTGCGTGAGAGAGCAGCCGTCGAGGGCGGCGACGCCGACGCGCTGCAGCAGGCAGGCGGCGCCGATCCGCCGCGTGGTCGGCGTCGCGGCGACGGCGCGCAGAGACTCGAGGGTGCGGCGCAGGCTCGGCCGCGGCCGAGTGCGCTCCGGCTCGGGCTGCAGCGCCGCGGCGAGGGCGAGCGCGGCGTGGATTGGGCCGAGCAGCCACAGGAAGCGCGGCAGGGTCAGGACGGGCGGGTCGCGCAGCCGCGACGACGAGAGCAGCAGGAGAAGCGGGTGGGCGATGAGGTTGCCGGCGCCCATTCCGACGGTCTGGCAGACAGGCGCGTATGGCCGGCTGCGAGCAGGGAGCAGCTCGAGCGCCCAGATGTCGACGGCGACGTCCTGCGCCGCGAGGAGGAGGACGACGGCGAAGAGTGCGGCGGCCAGGGACGTGGTGTCTCTCGAGAGGACGAGCGCCTCGATCGTGTGGCCGAGCCACAGCCACAGGGCGCCGCTGGCGAGCGTGCACGGGATGACCCAGGCCTTCCGGCTGAAGTAAGAGTCCACCAGAGGCGCGAAGAGCGCCTTGAGCGCAAATGGCCACGCTCCGAGACTGAGCACGCCGATGCGGGCGTCGGAGACGCTCGTGGCAAACAGGGTGGGGAGAGTACCGATGATCAGAGCAAACGGCACGCCCTGGACTGCGTACAGCGCCGTGAGGAGGCACAGCTTGCCGGTCGGGTTCTCGAGCTGGCCGCCTTCGAGTGTGGGCGGCGGAGCATGATGCAGCGAGGGCGCGACAGGCGCCATGAGAGAATCACGGAAAGCAGTGTTGGGTGGCGGCGGAGGAGCTTCCCAGAAGGGCGCGAGGCGCCGGCGGCGGCGTTCTCCGAAAGGGACAATGGCGGCGGCGGCGGCCGGGGCGGTGGCGGTGGCGGTGGCGGTGGCGCTACACCGACGCTCGGGAGGACCTTTTTTCTTTTCTCCGGGCGTCCGCGCCCTTGTCGTTCCGGTGTGCTGTGAGAGAGGCTTGTATTTTAAGAATTCTTTTCTCCGTCCACTTTCCCGCCCATGCCTCGTAGCTCTGCGGACGGGCCCCTCCACCCTTCACGTACTGGTCCCCAAAAAAGTCAGCAGAGTCCTCCTACGGGAATGTACGTAAGAGCTACATCCCCTGAGAGAGAGAGTCCACTGAAAAAGCTGTCATGGGATCGCTTAAATAAAGAAAGAAAGAAGACAGCCAAACCCAAAAAATGGAGGAGGGAGGAGGCCAGGGTGAGGGCCCAACTTCAGAATCGTCCTCTTTGGGTTACAGTAGGGACGATCGCGAAGGACCCCCCCCCCCCCCCCCGTGTGTGTGTGTGTGTGTGTGTGTGTGTGTGTGTGTGTGTGAAAGCGC